CGTTGCATTTGTACGGATTTACACCCAAGTCGCGCCTAAAGAAGTTTCACTTAAAAAATTACATAGTCGTCGCATATTCCATATATTCATGTAATATATTTATTCAGTGCGAAATAAGAGCTCTCGGTGGTAACATTTATTAAATAGGCGCCTCGTACATTGTATTTTGTAATTTACCCCGGTGGTGGAAAAGTGTAGTAAGGTAAGGGTGCGGCCCATGCCCATCATATCAGATCGATTGGAGCATTGGAGGTTTGGAGGGTTCGTTTTAAGGCACCATTACCTTACCAGAAGCACACCTCCATTCGGCAATCGAGAATCGAGAATTGTTCTCAGAAAGTTTCCAAATTATACAAATTATCACGAGGGAGTCGCCGGTCGAGGAAAGAAATGCATAGAGGAATAACTTATAAATTCCACTTGTGTGTTAATTTTACATAGCGACTTTACAATTTTTGTTACATATTTTACTTATAGAACTCAATTTACATTTGATTTACAAGTTTTGAAATAAAACTTCTTTAGGCGCGACTAGGGTGTAAATCCGTACAAATGCAACGGAAGTGCGTTACGGCTCTCGATGAAATCATTTCTATACGAGTCGATTGTGATTAGACGTCGCGTATGTGAATAGAGATCTGCGGTTGTATGCGTAACGGCATCAACAAGGAAATCGGCATAGATAAATAAACATTTTAAAGGTACACCGTAGTACAAATCTTGATTTAATGAAAAATGCCTGAATTAGAAGAATATTTTACCCTGTTCCTTGAATATAATAGAACAAATTAAATATTTGTACTGTGTACAAAACGTAAGTTTATTGATTATAAATTATTTCAATATTATTCGTAGTTTCTATACATCTTTGAATCTATTAAAATGGAAAATATGTTTTAGGCAAGACAGATATTACAGCTGTTCAAAGAATGAGATTATATCGCCAGAGAAAAAGTAAAAAAAAAAATACAAGCAGTCAATAAATGTATGTTAATTTTAATTACATGAAGTTCTTCAAATACAATTATTACATGGTGAGTGAAGTTGCGAAAACAATATTTGTTTAGGCGCTGTTTAACATAATCCACTGTTTAAGCGATTATTATAGAATTTATCAATCAGCAATTACTTCATTTCTCTGATGAAGGTTCATTTCTAAATGAAAATTACAATGACAAACCGATCATGTCGTATTTGAAGTATGACTTTAATTACATTATTGTTTTTAAATATCATACATATTTTTAATGCTATTATTAATATATAATTTATAATTTATATAAATGTGTATAATCGTTGACACTGATAAATGTGTGCATTACGAGTGTTACCACATTACTGATAAACATTATTCAAAATTATTATATGATGTATTTATTTTCACTTAAATGCCATCTTGTACAGTAGCAAATAAGTTTTACTTCAATCGCGTGTGAACCTTACGCGCACTCTTTTTTATTAACTTCCCGAAGAAGAAGGTAATTTGTTTGACGATTTGACGGATTTGCTAATTTTATGTTTTTTCGACGTTTCAAGTAATTCTGAATCTGAATCGAATGAGACCAAACTAGGAAAAAGTGTACGTGGGTGTGTTTTTTTTTTGTCAATCAAAACTTTATTAGCCTGTGTGTATGTGAGTCGATTTTTGACCTTTCGTCGACGTATTTTACATAAAGAGGATTTAAAATGACAAAAACAGATTCAGAAAATATTCTGAGGTCGCAACTTTATTTTGTGCAAAATGATAGAATATTTAGTATATTAAACATAGCGTTACCATAACTTTTCTATTTTATGCGAGAATTGTCCCCTATGTCATTTAAAACGAATGCTTTAAATTTAAAAAAACGTAATATGCTTTTTTCCAAATGTTTCCCCAAAAACACTCATAAAGAGTGCTTCTCAAGTGTTCTCTATTCTTGTCAGCCAATGTGTTGAATTAACAGCTCGGTTTAGTGTTACTAAAATAATATTCTTTAAGAATATTCAAGTGGGTATTCTTATACACCTGGTAGCACGTGTAAAGAGGAAACAACTTATAATATTATATGAGTAGATAAATATTTATTCACTTTAATCAATTATGAATTTTGTTACTCGCTTTATTAACAACTATGCGAACGAAAAGTTTGTTTTTGCCAGAAAATCTAATTTGCTCTTGTTTGTTTTCTCGACGTTTCAAGTCAGACTGAATCCTTTGAGACCAAAGGTGCAAAAATGTATATGTGTGAGTGATGAATAATATTAATAACATTTGTCTAAATTAAATAACCTTTAATAGTTTCTTACATCCTACAGCAAATCGGTATACTTATAAATGCCAGATTATACTGGTGGAGCGCATGGCATCGTGTCTTAAGGCAAATTGCTGGAACTTCCCGTACTGTAATTAAACATTCAAACAATAAAAATAATCAGTCAATGTCTATGACGTACATATTATAAAAACTAGAATTTTCATTATTTGTTCCTTGTAGACAAAATGTGACAACGTAATAGATTAGACGACGTTCTTTATAAATATATAAACAAAATCTAATTAAGCTGACTTATTCTTAGAATGAACATATTTTATTTCAAATGCATCAATTTTTTGTTCGCGAAATATATGCACTGAGTTAACAATTTTAAATAGTTCAAGTAGGATCAACTATATAGACATAAAAAGTATTTAATTTTTTTTTTTTTGAAAAATATCAGAGACGTGGAATTCGAATCCGATCAGTTTTGGCTTTCTTATCTACTAACGCGAACGAAAATTGCAGTGACGCGCCAACCAACTCAGCTATAACGACATGCTCACAAGATCTAATCGGAATTTTTGCACTTTTTGCTCTGTATCTTCGAAACGGCTAGACCTGCCTTCGCCAAAATTAATCAGCACGCCTCCTTATCAATACGAATCGAATGTTTTTTGAATTATTCAAATCGGTTGATCGGTGTTCCCGAAATCGTCGACGATAATTTGTATCCGAACATACACACATACATCCATTTTTTCTAAGGTATGCCAAAATATTCAGAAACCCCTTAAACGTAAAGATATATAAACATTTTCATTTTCGATTTTTTGCGATATTTATAACTTACCCTACGAGAAGTTAATTAAACCGATTTATTCTCAACCTCCTACTTTTACCTTTAGCAAGAGTTCTTTAACATTTCTGTGCCACATATATATGAAAAATCAATAGTTTCATTTTCCAGTATAATGTATGCAAAGTAATAAATTAAAACCCCATCCCCTAACGTTCATTTTGACCAGAGTGGACGTTGTGGTAGAATTTCTACCAATATCCACATACATAGAATAAAACTTCTATTCCGTGTTAATAAGTACACCGCGCCCTTTTTCCAATTAATTCCAATTTAAAATGGAAAATAAGTGTAGGATAGTTAGATAGTTTGCTACAAATTCTCTTGGTACAATGTTTGTCCTAAATAGACTCCTAAACTACTGAACCGATTTTGAATTTTACTGTCTCACAGTATGCATATATATCCAACTTAGGTCATAGGTCATATTAAACAATTCATTTCACATTTGAAATATTAAAATTCTAGAAATTTCAATTAATTTTGACGTAAATTGTAAGGAAACAAAACACTATGTTGGCAGTTGTCAATGTTTCTGGTATAAAAAATTCTCTTGTCACAATGTTTGTCCTGAATAGACTCCTAAACTACTGAATTGATTTTAAATTTAATTGTCTCATCTTATGCATCTGTATCCAACTTAGGTTATAGGCAATATTAAACATCTCAGTTCATATTTGAAATGTTAAAATTTTACAAATTTCAATTAATTTTGACCGTTGTGGTTTTAAAAAAAACGAAATACTGTGCTTGGCACTTGTCAATGTTTCTGGAAACCAAAATAAATTGATTATAAATATTGAAGGTATAAAAAATTCTCTTGTCACAATGTTTGTTCTGAATAGGCTCCTAAACTACTGAACTAATTTTAAATTTAATTGTCCCACAGAATGCTTTTGTATCTAACTTAGGTTATAGGCAATGTTAAAAATTTCAGTTCATATTTAAAATATTGAAATTTTACAAATGCCAATAAATTTTGACAGTTACGAATTTTAAGGAAACTAAACGCTGTGTTTGGCAGTTGTCAATGTTTCTGGAAACCAAAATAAATTGATTATAAATATTGAAGGTATAAAAAATTCTCTTACAATTAGTACAACGTTTGTCCTGAATAGACTTGTAAATTACTGAACCGATTTCAAATTTTATTGGCTCACTTTATGCATTAATAACCAACTTAGGTTATAGGTAATGTTAAAAATTTGAGTTCATATTTGAGATAGTAAAATTTTACCAATTTCATTTAATTTTGACAGTTATGAATTTTAAGAAAACTAAAGACTGTGATTGGCAGTTGTTAATGTTTCTGGAAACCAAAATAAATTGATTATAAATATTGAAGGTATAGAAAATTCTCTTGTCACAATGTTTGTCCTGAATAGACTACAAAACTACTAAACCGATTTTGAATTTTCTTAGCTCACTGTGTGCATTTATATCCAACTTCGCTAAATTACATCTAAAAAACATTTTTAAAATTTTCGAATTTTTGTTCGATGCTGTTTCCATACGAAGCTTTGATTGAATTGCGCACTATCTAAAGGACAATATTAAAAGCTAAAACTTTCAGAAAATTGTTTTTTATCAATTTAGAACTATTTGAGCCCTTGGGAGCAATAAAATTCAAAAATGTCCATATTAAGGAAGGAAATTAAAATTAGGAATAAATTTCCAGATGAAGAATACTAAGCTTATAATAAAATTAAATATAATTTTAATATTATAATATAATAAAATATTAGTAAAATAATTTTAATTGTTTTTATTACCAATAAAACATTTGTTTAAACAAAAACGAATAAAAAAATCTCGGTCACATCTTACACGATTCGTATAAACTTACATCAATTTTTCCACACTTCCAAAAAAAAAAACAACATGCACATACATTTATATAAAAATCAACCTCCTCCTTTATCTTTCCGTTTACGACCCCTTCTTCTACCACTTACCTTTGGTGAATCTTCCTGCTCTACTGGTACATTCTCATAATCAATCCTGTATCCATCTTCGTCGTCATCATCCACCACTATTACATAGTCAAGTTTTCTTGAAGAACTAGGAGGCGAAGATTTTTCCTTTGGGCTCGTTGCAGAAAAATAACGTTTTCTACCACTTCTTGTCGATGGAGGACTCAATGGTAATAAAGGATGATTTTTGGTTTTGGGGGTTCCTAAAATTGGTTGATAGGATTGACTACGTTTCCGAGGAATAATAGATTTAGTTTGGTTGGTTTTGGATTTATCCAGTGGTTGGGCTTCAGATTTGGGAAGTTTTGTTGTAAATTTGCGTCCAGAACTAGATTGAGTAGAGGTGGTAGCAGTAGAACAACGTTTTCTTCCACCACTGATCAACTTTTTTCCAGAATCACTTTTTGGTTGGTTCTGCCTTCGGGTGTCATCAACACTTTGTCCAGTTTGACTTGCAGTTGCACTAAAACTACGCAGACGTTTCCCATAACTATCTTTTTCTCTGGCAACATCTTGTGGGAATTTAAAATCAGTTTCTGAATCGTCATCGTTAAAATTTTTGCTCAAGCTTGTGGAAAAACATCTGGAGCATATTGAACCAAAATCTCCCATATCACTCTTGTTTTTGTCTTTGTTTTTGGTTTCCTCCAAAGTTTTTCTGTGCAGATTTGAAATTGTACCATCAACTGGACTATCATCATCAAAAGTGATACCAGAAGTTGCAGAATATAAACGTTTTCTTCTTGTCTTAAGATCCCTCGTTTTAGGAGTTTCTGTAATAGACAATTGTCTTTGACTTTCTTCAGCAGATTTGGTCGTAGATTTATTTGTTTTTGAAGCCTTCGGTTGCGAGTCTGTATTAGATTTAGAAACTTTTTGAGTAGTGGTAGTAAAACTGTCGACTAAAATTACGTCAGAATCAGCTTGTGCTAGTATATGCCTTTTGGTATCATCAAAACTTTGTCCAGATTGACCTTCAGTTGCAGAAGAACTAGGCCAACTATCTTTTATCTGTGAAAACTTAAAAGTAGCTTCTGAATCGTGATCACTATGACACCAATCATTTTTCGTCACAAGAACTTTTGGTTGATTTGCCAAAATACTGGAAATATCTACGTCATCAAGATTTATGGAAAGCATTTGATCACTAGCACCCATATCTTTTTTATTTCTCTTATTTCTGTCATGTTTTAGTTGTGAGTATGTTACAGTTTTGGATACTTGTTTTCTACCAAAATCAGTCTGGGTGGTGGCATTATTACCATATGTTTTAGTTTGAGTTCCTGCAGTTTTATAAAAACTACGCAGACGTTTTACGTACATGCCTTTTTTCCTAAGACCGTGACATGGAAACTTTAAAGTTTCAATTTGACCTGGAACTCTTGCCTGGTTTGCCAAGATATTTGCAAACTCTTCGTCATGAATAGATGTAGAGGGTAATTGATCACTTGGTTCCATATCTCTCTCAACTGTGGAAGACATTTGATCACTTGGACCAATATATTTTTCATTCTTTGTCTTGTGTCGTTTTTCCTTCTTTCTGCTATCTAAAACTGTACCATGCACTGGTCCTTTTGGGGTTAAAGTGTGTGCGCGTAAGCCAGGGGAAATTGAATCTTGAGAACTATCTTTTTCTGATCTGCAAGTAGGACTATCGATTCTTCTCAATACAACTCTTGGGCCAATATCTCTCTCAACTGTTGCCAAATTTTTCGCAATATCTTCTGCATTAAAAGAACCAATATCTTCTTCATTACTCTGTGTCTTGTCTCGTTTCTTTCTGCTATCTAAAATGGTACCACGCACTGGTTCTTTTGGTGTTAAAGTGTTTGCGCCAGGGACAATTGTTTTTTGAGAACTATTCTCTTCAGATCTGCAACTAGGAATATCGATTCTTCTTAATACAACTCTTGGTTTATCCAAAGCCAAAATCCTCGCAATAACTTCCTCATTAAGAGATATGGAACTTGGAACAATATCTTTTTTATAACACTTGGTCTTGTCTTGTTTTTGTTTTTTCTTGGCGCTCTCCAATGTTTTCCTGTGTAGATTTAAAATTGTATCATCCACTGGGTTTAATCTAAAACTAGTAGAACTAGTAGAACCTTGTAAACTATTGTCATCGATTTTGGAACTAAAAGTTGCACTTCTACGTCTTGAGTTTGAACTAACAATTGTGGTCTGTGACGATCCAGAATCTTTGGATTCATCTGGATTTTCTCTAGACTTTTTATTTTGATCACTTGGACCAATATCATTTTTATCATACTTGGTCTTGTCTTGTTTTTGAGTCTTCTTAGCGCTCTCCAATGTTTTTCTGTGTAGGTCCAAAATTGTATCAGCTACTGGGTTTGTCCTAAAACCAGTGGAACTAGAATCTTGTAAACTATCGTCGACGGTTTTGAAATTAGAAGTTGCGCTTCGAGAACCGACAATTGTCGCAAGTGATGCTCCAGGGCCTTTTGATACATCTAGATTTTCTCCAGACTTTTTATTTTGATCACTTGGACCAATATCACTTTTATCACACTTGGTCTTGTCTTGTTTTTGAGTCTTCTTAGTGCTCTCCAATGTTTTTCTGTGTAGGTCCAAAATTGTATCATCCACTAGGTTTGTCCTAAAACTAGTAGAACTACAATCTTGTAAACTATTGTCAACAGTTTTGAAATCAGAAGTTGCACTTCTAGAACTGACAATTGTGGTAAGTGGTGCTCCAGAGCCTTTGGATTCATCTGTAGTTTTTCCAGAATTTATTTTTGCAGCATCGCTCTCTGAATCCTGTTGCTTTGCCAAAATATCAGCAATACCTTTGTTATTAAGAGATGTAGAAGTTGTATCATCTGGACCAATATTTTTCTTATTACTCCTGGTATTTTTTTGTTTTTCTTTATTTCTGGCGTTCACCAAAGCCGTTCTATACATATCTAAAAAGTCATCATCCACTCGTCTTATTTGTTTTAGAGCTTTTGTCCTAAAACCAGTGGAACTAGAATCTTGTGTACTATCGTGATCAGATCTAAAAGTAGAAGTTGCACTAGTATATCCAAGGCCTTTAGACTTATCTGGATTTTCTCCAGCCTTTTTATTTGCAGCGTCTGTTATTAAGGTATATAAACCTTCAGACTGGTCAGTATCACTTTTTGTGATATGCAAACTGGCTGATTCTTCAGCTTTGCTAGAAATACCTTCATTACTCTTGATAACATCGCTATCTGGTAAATCTGAAACAATATTTCTCATAAACGTTAAAAAATTTTCAGTGCGAGACTCGAGATTTGAAGTACTACTTCCAGTTCCTGCAGATGACATGGTTTTTGTTTCTTCATCTGGTAAATCTGAAGCTGTATTTCTGGTGACGTTCGAAGCACTTTCATCACCATCACCAGATGTCCCAGTACCATCGCTGTTGTCAGCAAATGATTGCCAAACGCCAGTTGATAGCATAGACAGGTTAGAGAGGGTTTCTGCATTTTTGGTGCTTGATTTAGTAGATTTAAAGCTTTCCATTATTTTTCTAAAAGACTCTTTTCGTAAACGTTCCTCCTCTCGACGCTCTTCCATGATAGCAACTATTCTATCCATGACCACATCGCGTTCATTGGAATCTTTACTGAAAAGATTTGGTTCAGGAGACGTCGGTTTTTTTGTCACAAGCAATATGGATTTTGGTGGTGATTCCTCTGAAACATAAAATAAATATAAAACTAAAATCTGTATTAAATTAGTTTTATTTTATTGTATAATTTACCTTTCTTTGGTGAACTTTCATCGGCATTATTTGCAGCCGGAGGTTCTTCTGCACCCTTTTGTTGTTTTAGCAAAGAGTACATGTGATCATCAGCTAATAGTCTGCAAATAAAATAAAAATATTTCAATATTTGATTTTAATCTTATATATAAAAATGGAGCTCTCGATAAAATGTTCCGCTAAAACGGCTAAACCGATTTGGCCAGTCTTAGAAAAATTCGTGCTAATCAGTAGGTTGTCGGAAAGGTGAAATATTATTCCAAAATCGCGTAGAAGCTTTACATTTTTAATTTGAACATTTTTGAAGAAGCGTAATTTGAATAAAACAATAGACGGTGGCTAATACGTCAAATGTCAAACGTTTTTGACAGATGATGTTCAATTACGTTTAATAGGATGTTTTACGTGAATATTATTTAATTATGATTAAATTGCAGTAAGTAGTTTTGTTCGTAGTTATATTTATACACAAACACGTTATTAAACGAATCGCAAGTGTTACTAGAAACTCAAAATATCAACTTTTTTGAAAAGTTAATATAAAAATGCACTTTTCTCAAACATGGTGCTTTGAAAGATCTGATTTGTATAATTATATACGCATTGGTATTTATAAAACATTTTCTAGGTTATATTATTTTTTATTTATGTTATTTAAATTCAGAACTTAAATTTGGTATCGATCAAAGGGACATTTTGTCGAATAACATTTTACCAGTTATAATTTCCCAGAGTTTATCGAAGAATAAATAGTAATATATGAAGGTTCGGGGTTAAAAAGGTTCACCACCGATGTGTCAAAAACCAGTAAAGTTTAGCAACGTTCAACAACAATATTTGAAAGTAAAGGGATAAAGATCTATAACCAGCTCTAACCTTGATTCTCATGACTTTACTTTAAGGAGATAAACGGTAATCTTTGAAAATCCATAATAAAAGTATTTTCACCGTTGGTAGTTTTTTAGCACCAGTTAAAAATATAATTATTTTGTAAAATACCTTTAAAATTAAAATAAGACATTGAACCCGTTTGCCACCTGGCCGTTCCAAGTCAATCCGCCTATAGGGTAAAAACCACTAGAAAACAAATTTTTGAAAGACAGCAAAAAGCACATATCTACAATGATGAAGTAGCTGGCAGTTTTACTGAACATAGTCAGATAATTGTTCGTTTGAAATGTATTATTTGTTGTGATATAATTGTTTGGGTTTGCACAATATAGTTTATATTTGCTCAAAGTTAAATTGGACCTTTGTGCCTCACCCTGCTCTACATATATACTTTTTATTAAATTTACTTTAATTCATGGAATGTAACTTGAGACTTTTCAAAAAGCAGGTCAAAGAAGAAATACTTAATTCATTTTTTATTTCCCCTTGCAAAAATTTGAAAATTTTGTATAAGCTCAGTAGTATTATTTACAATTATACACAAAATACAGAATCTAAAAATAATCTGAAAAACTTGAAACGCAATCAATAAGTCGAAAGACCAAAAAAGACTTGGACTGGATTATACCATGTTGTCTATAGAAATGTACAAAACTTCCAGTTTGGTTGTATTTATAAAATATAGACAAACTAATGAGGTTTATTGTTTTTATGATACCTCATTGTATATAGCATTCAAACCACACATCTTTGTATACTTGAAGTATTAATATTTTTGATTCTCTAGAAATTGTTTAGAATATACCTTACTTAGCAAAACAATGTTTGCCAGGTCAGCTAGTTATTAATAAATACCTGAATGGTTGTCTGTATCCTACAACAGCTGCTGCCAAATTTTTAGCTTGTATAGGTTCACATCCTTCCAAAGTCGCTTTTAGGGCCTCTACGGCCAGTTCTAGCAGTTCTTGGATTCCTAAAGGCTTGTTGCTGCTTTTTAGGTCCTCGGCTTGGAAATAGTTTTCTAAGAAAGCTCGAGCTTTTTTTGATCGTTTGCCTGAGAAAAAAAATAATATCAGCCTATTAGATTGAGAGGCCAATACTCGGATAAAATAGAAATGTTAGAGGACGTTAAAAAATCACGTGATCGAGTTTTCAAGGATTTTTGAACCCTTCTTCCCCCTTGACTCTCCTATCACGTGTATTTTTAGTTACGAGAAAAAATTGTAAAATTTTTGATTTTTTAAAAATTGTTTTCTTTTTTTTTTAATTCAGGTAAACTAGTGGTGTATGGCATCGTGCTTCAAGGCAAATTGCTAGATTTCCCGTACCGTAACGAAATGATAGAGGAATAATAAATGTTTTAAAATAGATTTTTATAAATACTGTAACATTGTCTAATATCTATAAGTATTATATAAACTGAATTTGGAATTATTTGTTTAAAGTATATTAGAACATAATTAAAATTAAAACCTGAATTATTTTCGATATACAAAAAATAATATTCTGAAAAAATAAAAAAAAATTGATAAAAAAAAAATTAGGAACAATTTTTTTTTTCAAATGTAAATATTTTGTTGAAACAAGCAGAAAATTATTTGAATAATTCAAATCGGACGCTTAGTTCACTTAAAAACTGCCATTTTTTTGTAGTAGGGTAGTTATAGTAATGAGCCAAAAATCGAAAATGAATTTTTTTTGCATTTCTCGACGTTTTGAAGGTTTCTGAACATTTTGGCATACCTCAGAAAAAATGGATGTGTGTATGTGTGTTTTGTATGTCCGCATTTCTTCGTCCACGTTTTCGGGCGCACGGATCAACCGATTTGAATGGTTTAAAAAATATTCGATCCCTATTGATAGGGAGATGTGCTGATTAGATTTTCGCAAAAGCAGGTCCAGCCATTTCGAAGATACAGAGCTAAATGTGCAAAAAATGGCAGTTTTTGAGTGAACTAAGCGTCCGATTTGAATGATCTAAAAAACTTTCTGCTTGTATTGACAAAACAATTGCTTTTGAGGATAAAAAAATATTACACCTTGTTTTATTTTCCATAAAATATTTTTGTAATTTTGGATTAAAAATACAAAAAATTACCCATGCTAAGCACAGTCTAATCGCCACTCTGGTACGAATGTTTAGCCAAGTGCGTTTAGACTGTTTAGGTATTGGAGCACTTTTGCAATTTTGTGAAAACTATTGAAAAATGTGAAAATGCCACCAAGCTAAGTACGGTATAAGTGAAAATGTCGCACAGAATTATTTGCAAATGCGTTTAGACTGTGACTATACGGAAGCACTTTTTCAATTTTGTGTAAATTAGGCAACTATTTTTTTTTTTAAATTGAATTCGAAATGAAATGACGATTGTTAATGTTCTGGAGATAAATTGATTTATGATTTATGATTCACATTTGATTTGCTCAGATATAACAAGATAGCAAAAATAAAGAAAGTTACAGTATTTGTAATAATATATTTGAAAACGTTTAAAATTTCTCGAATATTTCATTACGGTACGGGAAGATCCAGCAATTTGCCTTAAGGCACGATGCCATGAACCACTAGTTATCCGCGGTTTTAAGTCATTTTTCCTTTATTACCTATTGCATAAGCCCGGCATTCAAACACAGATGAAGAAGGACCAACATGATACAATTTGGGCTCCTGAGCGTTCTCATCATAAGTAGCTAAAAGTAAAGCAACCCCATAAGGTCGTTTTCCATATGTTTGTGTCGGAATTTGCATCTTGCGTCCCAATTCCCACATTATGCGTCCAACGTTCGGTGTGGTGCCGAAAAGATGACGATGGTTTGCACATTCCAATCTGCAACAATGTAAATTAAAATACCATGTGATATAACTTTGTTGTCTTTTACATTACCTCAGATGTTTAATGATGGATATCGAGTCCGCAGCAATTCCAGTGACGCAGCCTCCCAAGGATTCGTCGAGGGGTATTAGTTTATCCTGGGGGGTGCTCTTGGTTGCCAATTTATGTCCTTCTGGTTTCATTACGACTAAAACTGTGTATTTTGGGCCGTGTATTCCTACAGCTGTCGTTCTGCCTTGTTCGCTTGCTTTCATGGCATATTCGACCTAGGGAAAAATTGAGCAAGAAAAAATTAAAGTGGTATGTTAAGGTGGTTGAGACATGGTCAAAAATGTGGTAAAGTTTCGGTGGAAAATTATGTTCTATTATTAACTTCCCGAAGGAGAAGTTTATGTTTTCATCAAAAAATCCGATTCGCTAATTTTATGTTTTCTCGACGTTTCAAGCCATTCTGAATCGAATGAGACCGACATTTAGAAAGTATGTGTGTGTGGGTGTGTGTGTGTGTGTGTGGATGTGTGTATGTGTGTGTGAACAGAGTTTTTGCCGCAAATAGACGTTTCCTCTAAAACGGCAGGACCGTTTTCAAATTTCATTCGATATATCTCGATGCGGACTAGAGTTTATCTTTGCGCGACAATCAGCCAAGCCTCTGTAAATCGCAGAGAAGTGAAAAAATCTTCGTCCACGTTTTAGCCCGCAATTCTGAATCGATTTTAAAAATTCAAAAACCGTTCGAAAGATATTAGATGGGAATCGACCTGATTAGTTTTTGGTAAAGATCGGCCGGGTCGTTTTCTTGTAATAAATTGTTAAAAAAATTTTTTTCGACGATTTTTATTTATTTTTTTTTAACGGTAGATACCCTGGTCTTATAGACCATATTAAAATATTATGGTCCTACGACAAGTCGATTAATTTAAAAAATTCTTCAAAGTTTGCAAAAATTAATTTCGCTTTTTTGGCATTTATCAAAATTTGACCTATGATAGACGTTTTCTCAAAAACGTCTGAACAGATTTCAGAAATTTAAAAGCCATTTGATGTATCTCAATGAGTATTATCGTTTCTCAGTTTTGTGCGACGATCAGCTAAGCCGTTTCTATGTAATTTGAGAAAAGTGTTAAACTTTTCGTCCACATTTAAGCTCATACTACTGAATCGATTTTAAAAAATCAAAAACCGTTCGAAAGATATTAGTTGGGAATGATACTGATTAGTTTTAGGTGAAAATCTACCGAGCCGTTTTCTTGTAATTAACTGTTGAAAGAAAAAATTAAGCCGATTTTTGTGGAACTTTTTTTTTCGATATATATCATGGTCTTATAGAACTTACTGAAAAATTTCGGCCTTACGACAAGTAGTTTAATTTTAAAAATTCATCAAAGATTGAGAAAATAAGTAGTTTTTTTTGACGTTTGTTAAAATTAAAATTAGACGATTTACTTAGTACTTGGTCTTAATGAACATACTAAACCATTAAAGTCCTACGGAAACTGGTTCAATTAAAAAAATTATTAATTTTTGAAAATACTAAATAATAGAGTTAACGTGTTCGTTCGTTTTCAATGATGTGTAATAAATCCACTCGGAATACTTTTAATCATTCATAAATTAATTTATTTTTCATTGATTAAGTCGATTATATACACATATCGGGAAGTTCGTGTAACTTGTCTTAAGGCAAAATACCAATACCAATTAGTTTAAATTATTTGCAAATATGTCAATTTCAAAAATAAAATTTACCTGATATAGTCTTCCCTGAGGACTGAAATGGGCCACATCGCTGTCGTACACAGGCGTATACATCTTCAATCATTATATTAAAAAAATTACTAATAAAATAAATATTTCGTTAAAATATGACAATTATTCAAATTTGACTGATCGTCAGTCAAATTTACACAATTTACTTTTACATCAGTTTTGACATTAGGACAAAATGTGATCGACGTTTAAATCTGAAATTATAAAAAATATAAAAACCTTTTGTGAACAAAAATTTTGAATTGTATGGGTATGCCAGTAATATTTATAGAAAAAGTAAATAAATATTGAAATATTTTATTGAGTTAATCAATTAAAATTGATATTCAGCTATTTAGGTAAAATGTTCAACTGTTTTTTTTCAAAAAATAAATCTTTTCTTTCACTATTAGTAATAAATACTATTTCCAAATTATGTGTCTTTTGAACATACTTATAATATCTGTGATTGCGTAAATTTAATTAATTTATTTCACATATTTTGTTGCTTCAATTTCTGGTTCTAAAAATGCATTTTATTTAACTGTAAATTCTGATTTATCCCTTTCTACTCGGATGCAGCCACTTCGGCAGCAAAATTCATATAAATCTCGGAATTCGCGAGAGGAAAGGGTTAAACTTTGAGGTTTTTTTATAATTCAACCGCTTATCGTAGACCTATAGTATTTTAGTATGTTATTTCAGACTATGAAATCTAACGTTATACAAAGTTGCCAAAAAAAAAAATTATAAAGAAATGGTCCGGCCGATCTTTAGGGAAAACTGATCAACGCGATTATCAACCAGTATCTTTCGAACAGTTGCTGAATTTTTAGAATCCTTTCAAGATTATAGGTTAAAACATAGACAAAAAATGTTTACAAATTTTTACAAATTTTTACAAATTTATTTTTTATCCTATTACAAATAAAATCTTCATTTCCTCAGATCTAGATCCTTTAAAGTTTCGGAATTCTGTGCCGCTTATTTCTGTCCCGGCGGTTATCTGGCATTTGGATAAAAATAAATTGGTTTAATTATAGATCAACGAATAACGAATAATACGATGTCGATGATTATCGGGTTATTTCTAGCGTAAAAAATTTGTAAAAACGTCGAAAAGCCTGCAAAATTACTCGAAACACAGTTTTAATATAGAAGCAACGTGCTCAGGTTCATTGGACGGGAGTTGACTTTTCTGTTTCTTTATTATTTTGTGTTGAAAGATGATATAAAAAATTCTTTTTTGAAAACTAATAATATAAAAACAGTATATTTATTTAATAACCCGTTATTGTATACTAATATATATATATATATATATATATATATATAATTTTTTAAGTTTTCCCGAAGAAAAAGTTCATGTTTTCGCCAAAAAACATCGATTTGCTAGTTTTAAGTTTTCTCGACGTTTCAAATCATTCTGAATCGATTGAGTCCAACTTTGGAAAAAGTATGCGTGTATGTGTATGTATGTGAGACGATTTTTCGATCTTTCGTAAATTGCACTGATTTCAAAAATTTTAAAGTTATTGTATTTAACTCGATAAAAGGAGCGAGACGATCGTCAAAGCCGTTTCTGTGAAATTAGCAAAAGACTTATTTTTTGCAATAGTTTTCGCAAGAAACGTGTTGTCTGAAGTTTATGGATTTATTTATTGTTCACTGAAATTAATTAACAATTAGATAAATAGATTTTTTATATCTGTATCCAAGGAGCAGTTTACAAAATTCTAGTTGTAAATTAAACAGCTGAAAATTTTATCTAACTATCTAAATCTGAATTTTGGTGATTAAGTCCCTTATCTAGATGTTCATGCAACTTGCCTCGAGGCAAAATTCCACTTATACCTAGTTAATATATAATTCCAACTGTCATCGAGGTTTAATTTATAATATTGTAGGTTTTGTTAATACTTCAGAATTGAGTTGTTAAGTTTGAAACTGCCAATAGATGTTTAAAAATTAATAAAAATAAAATTAATCTAACATACCAAAAGAACTGTTGATCTATCAGAAGTAATAATATTTAATAACATTATTCTTTTATTATAAATCTTAATCATGTCAACCCAAATATTTCATTCCAAGTGTTTCTGTTATAATAATCTGCATCTAAAATTAAAAAAATAAACAATTAATAGAACATGTAAATTGTATAAAAATGTTATATTAAGTATATTACCATCAAATTGTCATCATTTTCGCCAAAGTTTTTTGCACCATTAATTAAGTCACAAACTAAATTACAATTTGAGCATTTTAAAAAAATTAAGAAAAAAACCTAATTTTTGTTAATATGAATAAAATTGCTTAAGCACTTTAAAAAATTAAAAAAAAAAACTACACTGTCAGTTTATAAATTTTCGTTAATGGTAGGAAAAATTGGATTTTAAAAGCTTATCATTTACACCATACAGTTTTTTAACTAACAACTTTAGTAAAATATATTTAGTGTAGTAAAAACTTACTAAAAACTTAACTAAAGTTCCTTCACTTTTGAAAATTTTTCACTCCAAAAAAATCTTCCCCATTTGTCATTATCGAGACTTAAAAATTTAGAGTCACGATTTTTAGACCTCGGGGGTAATAAAATAATATATTTATTATTATAAATCAATTTATTTTTAATTGAGAATTAAGGTTTGTATCATTCTAATTTAATTTATTAAAAATATTAACTCAATGTTGAGAATTTATTAAAAAATTGAGAAGTTTTGTACAAATATAAATACAAGCACAATATTTTAACAAAAAAGTAGAAGATATTTGATAATTAAAAATATTTAAAATTAAAACACAAACAAGAAAACAGTTTTAATAATTTATAAAGATTTCTTAAACCAAGATGATAGATAAAATAAATTATATAATATTATATAACGTATAATATATTTAGCGTTGCTAATTTTCAAAAAAGAATCTCATAATAACAAAAACAGATGATTTTGATCACCAAAATTATTTGGAATTCTAATTTCTAAATTTTAAAATTATTGTAATTTTTCATTTTAATATTTTTCCAAATATTAGACATCTTTCTAAGTGTATAAGTGATAAATAAAATTAAATTAAAAAAAATATTCGAAACAATTTAAAACCATGCTCCTGCAACAAATCAATAACACAGATATTATTTCAATGATAATCAGACATTTATTTATAAACTAATAAATAAGAGTACAGGAGTATCATCTTAAAATATATTAATATTTATCCAATAGCAGTGACTCAGGAAGAGGAACTTTTTTTTAACAAACATTTTTTATTAAATGTTTAAACTTTTCACTTAAATTACAATTTGTACAACAACTGATCTAAAGAAAACTCGAGGAAGAAACTGACTAAATATTTTCCTAATTCTTGGCATTTCATTTTTTTTTTAATTTTTCACGATGCAAATGAATAATTTGTTTAAACAAATGCTAATAACAATTTGGTTTAATAATACAACATAACAATTCGTGATCACAAATAATTCGAAAGGAAATTCGCTTTTTACACAACATAAAAGATCGATTTTTGGTTTCTATAATTGTTGATAACCTTATAATATAAAAATTAAAGTTATAAAAATTATGTAAAAATAATGGATTTAGTTATATCGTTTATTAAATTTGTTAAATAATATTAAGTGAATTAGAAATATGGCATTTTTGTAGATATAGACATGTTCCACAAATATTTGAAAATGCATCTTATTTAATTTATATTATGAAAACGAATGTTAACTTACATTTATTTTATGAAAAATAATTTATATTAAATGTATAAAATAATTTTCTAGCTCTATTTTTCAAATATTTATAATCTCACTATTTTAATAACAAAATGCATTTTGACCGTTTATAAAAATTAAATATTAAATTTATTTATTCTTTTAAATTTTTTTAATTAAGACCAATTTTCTAGCCTTATTTTTTTTTAAATAAAGCTTTTCAAATAAAACTTTTTTAAACAATAAAATTACTTTTTATTGTGATTTTTTCAAACAATTTCTTGTAATTTAATTTATGCCATACTTTTAACAATCTTTATTACAATATTTGAAAAAAAAGTAGTTATGAATTTAAAAAGTTATTTTCAACAAATTATAGTTTCCAAAAATCGTAAAAATATTCCTTCATCACAAAATGACACGTTTTTATACTAATATGGAAGATTATTATATTTTTTGGACACTGATAGTATTAATATAATTTGCTAACTCTTAAAAAATATTATAAAAGAAAATTTATAAAAATTAACAGATAAAATATATGTCAAATTTGTAATATAAATTTAGGTTTAATGAATTTATTTACTCCAGCAAAAATAGTTTAATTTTCAAATTAATTGTAATATATAATTTTAATTTAAGTTTGATAACTTTATTTATGCCACCACAAACAGTTCTTTTTCCAAAATTTAAATTAAATAGATAAATAAAATTATATAACTTTTTTGAATATAAAATTTTTTGAGTCATATTAAAATGGAAACAAAATAATTAACGACATAATTTTATATATAGTATAAATTCAATTTAAACTTTAAAATTTAATTTTTTGTAAATAGTTTCAAATTGTATTTATAAAAACGTATTTACTTCATTTGTATATATATAAAAATAATCCAGCCAGACAAAATCAGATGATTTTTAGACTAAAAACGTGAAAAAAATGTTTTTTAAAAATTAGCAAATTTCTATTATTACCATCAGTATCCACTTACATTTTAATAAATCCTAATTCCTATTTTTTCCAGTAATTTATCGTAAAAATTACTTACAAACTTACACACAAAGCTATATATTTATTCAAATACAATATTTATTATTATTATTATTATTATTATTATTACACTACTACATACACAGTCTACGATTTTGGTTAATTTTATTTATTTATTTATTTATATATTGTTTTAGCGTTTTGTACTAGGAATGTTTTTTTCTTACCTATTTATATTAGAATTACTTACGTTAATATTTTGTTATGGAATGTAAAGAATTTTATAAAATAAATCAATGATACAAAAATTAACGTTTAATACTAGGAGAAATAAATAATTTAAATAAA